GGCTGTGAGGGGCGCGGCGCGGCGATGCCGGTGAAGAAGAAGAGAAAGTCGGCGGCGGCAGCGGCGGACGAGACCGGCCTCAAGAAGTGCAAACTCGGCAGGTGCGGCGGGCGGGGGGCGGGCGAGGGGCCGCTCGGGCACGTGCTGCGGGCCCGGGGGCGGGTCGTGACCTCGCAGGGCCGTGCCTCCAGCGCGGCCACGGAGCTGCGGGGCCTCCACGGAGTATCGTCCCGGCGCTTCGGCTCTTAAGCCTCGGAAGGGCTCTTGCAAGGGGCGAGGAGGGGACTGGGGAGGTCAGGAGCCGGATAGAGCCATCCCGGGGGACCGAGGCGAAAGGATGAAAGGAGGAGGAGGGGCTTGGTTTCATTTTTGACATGTCCAAAGGCTTGCAAGAAGCAGCTCTCAGATGCTGCCCTAGGGTCGGTGTCCGAAACTCCACAAGATTCGTTTTATGGTCGCGTTTGTTACTTTTTTTTTTTTAATCTCAAATGGACAGAGATGTTATTGCAGTGCATGCAGCTCATCACACCAAACACCATCTTGCAACTGGTTGAAAATTCTCCCCCCTTTTTTTTTTTCTGCTGAATTTTTAACATGGGGTACTGGGAGACCAGTATGTGCAGCATCTCGCAGGGATTCTTCTTTTCTCAGTTTGACACGTCTTGTTTTCAAATTGAATCATGAATCAATCACGTGGTTCCAAATCCCCTTTGTCATTTTTCACCTTTTTGGGGGCAGGGGGGGAGCAGTGTAGCATAAACTGAAAAGATGTGATTTTGAGTTTTAAGTGTTGAATTTACAAGTACTATAGTTTTTGTATTAAAGTAAAGATATGAATATGAGTTTTAAATGACCACTGGCTGCTGTTTGAATTGAAAGTGTTGTTATTATAAAATAGCATGATGTCGGCTCTAGGGTAGAGGGAACTGTGCATATCTCGGTGACGCCATAGGACTGTTCAAGGATGTTCGGTGGCTCTTAGTACTTGCATTGTCATGTTGCTTGTTGTGGTTTGTTACTTCTCTTGCATACATAGACAAACCCTATGACTTCTTTAAATGAAATGATAATGTGAATGATGTGGACCTTTAAATTGAAAAAGTGTGTGTAACTGGGGTATTTGAATATAAGTAGCCTGAATTCCTTGCTGAACTCTGTAGGTCCCATTGATTTAAGTTTGATTTGTGCTGCTTAGTGCTTCTGAAAGCCACTTGCAGTTCAGTGTCCATAAAAATGATGACATGTGGCGCACACATGACATACAATGTCTGACTATAAATATAGAGATGCATGCTGTTAATGTTAGCTTGACCTAATAATAAGTAGCTTGAAATTCATTGTACAAAATCTTTTTAAACATGAAGAACAGGAGATATAACATCTTGGGTATCTTTATATATTTCTATAAGCTATTGCAGATCACAAGCCTCTGGTAAAGTGATAAGTGGAGAGGAGCATTTTTCAAGCAAGAAGTGCCTGGCCTGGTTTTATGAATATGCAGGTATGAATGTAATAGCAGCCATGTTTAAATGTTAATATGGTGTATTGGGAATGGTCAAGCTGATAACAAATTTAACTAAATGTATGCCTCTTCACATTTATATTTTTCTGAATACATAGACCACAGGAAGCATGCAGATTCGTATTTCTTGAATAGTTATGTTTACCCAGCTTCTTGTGTATCTCTTTCTTTTCCATCTCCTTGTCCTTTCTTTCCCACTTAACCAGCACTTTGGTTGCCTATTACTGTAACTTTATGTAAGGCAACTGCTATTACACTGTTTAGTGTTGATTCAGGTATGTCCTTCCTATTAATTTTGTGTGTGTGTGTGCAGGTGGGTAGTATGGACATGGTTCCCTGTACAGTTCCATTGCATTCAGTTTAAACAAAATTAAACCATGCAGTAGATGAAACAATTAGGAGAGTCATTAAATAGTTAATAATCCTGTACTATCTTGTTTACATTACAGCAAACTGTGATATTGGCTTATACTTATTAGTTATATAAAGATTCACACAAAAATTAACATCTCAAATGCCAAAGGATTGTTACAAATATGTTAAAAGAAGCTGTTCTTTAACTGTTTTGTAACTAATTGTTCATCTTAACAAAACTATCTCCTTTGCATAATTTATTAAACACTCATGGGGGGAAGGGTGGCTTTTTGTCTCCTGTTCATTAACAGTTTCCAAGGCCCAATTTAATTGTTTAATGATTTGCAGAGCCTTCCTTTTTTAGGCTGCTTGATAAAAATCTGTCCTAAATAGTTGGATGACAGGATGTCATTGCTAGCCATTCCAATGAGTCCATAGTTTTTATTGGGTAGAAATTGAATCAAGCATCTGCATCAAAACTGACACTAGTTAGTATTCCTATTGACAGTTTTTCCAGAAATGAAGTAGTAGTAGAACTACCCTCTTAGCCCTAACAGTGATACCTCCAAAATCAGGTTTGAGGCATGTTAGCTTGGACTCTCTATCTGCCACAGCTTTCTTGTGGGGAAACTAAAGGATTTCAGTCACGTGGGCTTATGGTTAATACTGGTTTTGTATGAACTAAATGCAAATGGCATTTAGTTTTATTATATGGAGTCTTGGGATATAAACAGATGTTGCCTTAGTGCTGCCATGACATTTTTTTATGGTGGTACAAAGGCCAAGCAAACAGACTTCCATACCCCTTGTCACGTCGCAAATGCCCAAAGTTTGTGGCTGTGACATGGGTATGATCTTATGCAACTGTTTTGCACCCAGCATGTGTTTGTTTTAAGGCATGAGAGTGCAGGCAGCCTGGAGCTGCTCTCACACTCCAGCCACCCCAGGTAGGTGCCTCCAGAGCTTCAGGGGTCTGATTTTTGGCATGCCCTGGAAATCCCCATTCCTAGGGCATGTGGGATCAGGCCTCTGAAGCCCCAAGAGCTCATGTCAATGCTCCAGTACAAAATCTTATACTCCGGCTGATCAGAATGGTCCTGGGGCTGGGATGCCAGTGTGGTGACCTTGCTCGTGTGCATCCCAGCACTGGAATGCCAGTTAGCTAACTGGTGGTCTCAGCTCCAGGACCATATTGGAGCTGGCATTCCCTGCTTATAGAGACACATCCCAAAGGTTCCCTGGGGCGCATCTCTGGGAATGTGTTGCCCATTGTCCCACAGGATCAGCATATTAACTGCAGATCACCTGAAGCAGTTCAAATGTGCTGGAGCGCATCCTGGCACAGCTGATCTGCTTCATTTGGTGATCTCTGTTTATACTCTTGGACTATATGTATTATTTTTTTTTTTTTTTTTTTTTAACTTTCACATTTAAAAAACAATATGCGCACACGTGTGTGGGTATTACTTACACAGATGTGTCCATGCACATTTTTTTTACATGAACTTTTACATTTAAAAAGTGTGTGTGTGTGTGTATACACACTTTTTAAATGTATAAGTATAATATATATACACACACACACTATTATTGCATATTAGTGCATTATATATTTTTGTATAAACATTTAATAATTTTTTTTTAACTGTAATGCATTGTGAGAGAACAATTATTTGCATGGGTTTTGTAATAGTGCCTTGTGCTAAGGACCTAGTGCTGAAAATGTGGTCAATTAATGCCCATCAAAGTCTGTGGGCCTGTTAATGATAGCGAAAATTTGTTATGTATATGTGTTTGCTAAATTGATGCTTAAATTATTATCATCTTCTGTGTCATTTATTTCTTCACGAAATCAGGTACTTGACATCTGTATGCTGTCATACATACTTTTTTAAACCAGTGATTGTACTGTGCATTACCTTGCAAGAGACCCATGTTTGCTTTCCCATCTGTCCAAAGCAAACTTATTCCATGTAAAAACAACAACTCAGAGCAACTACCACTCTAGGCCACACCAGATATTTAAATATGTTGCAATTGCCAACTTATAAAAGGGAGTCTTATGAAAGGTGATAGACATAATGCACATAACTTAAGACGTATGACAGGGTATAAACAACAATACAGTAATGGGTCCCTTACATTACTCATGGGTGACAAAAAAATAATTTCTAAAATTACTACATTGTCCTGTAAACCTAACATCAGCCACTTGGGGTTTAAAAATGCAGGCTGCCTATACACATGCTCAGGAGGTGGGGTGCATTTTAATTATAGCAGTTCCCAAAAAGCCACTTTAATTGAAACACCTCATTGTCATATGTATTACGCCTCCGCACACTTAAAAATGGCCACAGGGGTGCTTTAGCTAAATCACAGTCAACGAGGTTTACATAAAGTGACCCCACAGCCATTTTAAAATGTGCAGGGGCTTAATATACATGGCGGAGAAGCAGTGCTGGACTGTTCTAATTGCAAGGCGGAACAGACTCTTAATTGAGTCTGCTCTGATGCACTCTAATTAGAACATGAACCAGCATGTGTATGGATAGTCATGTTTTAATAGATAGTAAAATAGTATCTGTTTTATCTCTAGCATCTCTCCAATGGTATGTGAGAAAAACTGCTAACAATGTGCCCATCAACTTCATTAATAGTCCAGAAGGAGTAGTTGTTGCAATAAGCTCAGCAGAAATATTTGTAGTACCCAAAAGAGGTTTGCTGAAACAATTTAATGGATAAACTGCAGAATATGTCTGTACGTGCTTTTTAACATGCCAGTTTTGCTGCTTCTAAAAAGCCTTTTTGTACAAAAAGGAAACAAGTAGCAACCTATAATGTAGAAAAAAATCATTCCAGTTCTAATGGAAATTATAATAATTTTATACTTAATTTATTTCTTTGTACATATTAAACTTATTTCACTATTGTTATAACAACAATACATACAAAATACCAACTTACGAAGTAGAGATTATGGAAAACTTAATAAGAAAATTCATTAATCTATGAAATAATTAATCCCATATGATTTGAGAGTTCTTCCCCTTGCCTATCTGCTTTTAAACCAAGTCTGCAGTACTTAAAATAGTAGTAACAAAAACAAGTTACTTTGAGCAAATGCTTTCTTGACAAAATAGTTTATAGGGCTTCTTGTTTACTGGGGATATGTCGACAGTGCACTGTGACATAGAAGTATGCAAGCTAGAGTTAAATTAGCTAATTCTGGGTCTGTACGCAGTCTAGTCATAGCAAGAGAGCTTAATGCAAGCCTCAAGCCTATCTGAGAAACAGAAGAATTGGCCCACACTGTGCGTGCCATGTAGTCCTTATGTAACCTGACCTAGGTAGTTTAAAGCTAACTTAGGTGTTACTGTTATGATTGCATTGTAGATATATTGTATGTCAAAGCATGCTGAAGGTGACTGAGTTGCATTGGCCTTTAAATCTTTTTAAGGGACGTAACTGGTACCCTCTCTTCATCTACCCTCATGTTGTAGATGGAGTTTGTTTCTAACTCTCAAACTATTGAAATGAATGCAGACAGTTCCTTATGGTGTCAGTTTTCAAATATACTTTTCAATTAGCAGCTTTTATGTTTGTATGCATCAGTACTGCTCATAAATTTGAATACTTTGTATAACTCAGTCTAGTTTCTCTTTGTTTTTTAAGGTCCTGATGAAGTTGTAGGACCTGAAGGTATGGAAAAGTTCTGTGAAGACATTGGTGTTGAGCCTGAAAATGTAGGTTTTATTATTGCACACTAATGGGAATTCTGAGTAAATAATTTGATTTTATTTAGATTTAGGCAAATAAGAGTAACTACAGTAAGTAACAGGGAAATTTATTGTGGCTTTTTAGTTTGCGGGATTTTCTTGTTCTTAAGATTTCAATATGAGGATTTCAAAAAAGATTTTAAATGTCAGGTAAAGTTCTTAAGAACATAACATTTAAGGGAAAGATTGTTCTATACATTTAAATAACTTAAAGTGTTAATACATTTTAAAATACAGTTAAACCGTTTTTATTCCTAAATGCATGAAATTTTCTTTATAAACGACTAGAGATCAATCACTACTGCTAAGTTACAGTAATAGTATTTTTCTTCTTTGTTTGGTGAATATTCCTCTCTTTTTCCCTCTTTCTCTAGATCATTATGCTAGTTTTAGCTTGGAAATTAGAGGCTGAAAGCATGGGGTTTTTTACCAAGGAAGAATGGTTAAAGGGGATGACCTCATTACAGTAAGAGCTTTATTTTTTATATATATTGTGATACGTTCAGTTTGTTTTGAAGCAGCAGATTAATTAATTATCCTTTCCATTTCTGGGTACTATGCAGGCTTAATAAGTTAAAGAACATTTTTCCTTCAGGTCAGCAGTTCAAACCTTTCCTCAATCAATCCCTAGGAATAGCTGCAATCTGCCACTAGAACATCAGTTTGGTCTTGCGTGACCCTAATAAACTAATGCCTTAGTCATATTTTTGAATGTAGCTGTAGTCAGCAAAAGGTTGATGGAATAGGTGTGGGAATATTGCTGAGGGCATCGTGGTGGGTACTGTTTCTTCCCTCTTAGCAGTTTGACTAAGTAGAGGCTGGAGACTAATTTTGATCCTCTAATACTGTCTGTCACTCTTATCATAATGGGTAGACGAGTGGTAGTAACAAGTAATATTTAGGTTGCATAATACTCTCTATTTATAAAATATTCCTTCCTTTTCTTTGAGAAACACTCTTATCTCACTTGTTCATGGTAGTCTTTGATATTCATTAGTGGGATTATTCTTGAGCCAGAGAAGCTCTTTTTTCCCCATAATGTTGGTAGTGAGGTGGAAAAAGAGCAAGGCCAGACTCAACCTCTGTGTTCCTCTAGTTGCTAGGATCCTGCTGGGAGATCATAAGTGCAAAATTCTTTGCCCATATCAATAGGTGTTCAGGGAAAAAAGTCAGCCCAGGCTGTGCAGTGTCTACATAATCTTTTACCACCCAATACTTGGTTCAAGTAGCTCGTTTTCCCCATCAAAGGTCATGATAAAGTGCAGACACTCCCCTCAACTCCTGGTGGCAGGAGGGTGGGTTAGGTTGGACTTCCTGATCCCAAGCCTCTCAGGATCTCCAATCCATCCCTCTTTTTAATAGGCATCAGGAAAAAAAGCTGTTCTTTATCTATTTGCACACAGGATGTTACACAGGGGATTTACAAAAGCGTTTTAAGCAGATCAGAAGATGAATAGAACAAAGGACATTGATGCTTCACTTTGTATGGTCTGTTTCCTCTCCCTTCTCCATCCCCTGCACCCCCATCACCAGCTCCCCACACCGGAGTGGAATCTGGAATCCCGAGTTAGGTGCCTGCGTTCCATATTGCATTCATGAGGAAATTTTAGGTGGTTTAGAATGATGATACAAAAAATAATAGGCAGGAAACCATCTAGAATTAGCCAACAGAAAACCCTGGGAACAGTGATATTTCTGTAATCCTACCCCTTTCCAGAATTTAGGCACCAAATCAGTACTGCAGGCAGGTGTTCCTACCCACTCAGGATCCACAGCCTGGAATTCTTTCCTATGACTATGTAACTACTCTCACTCTTCATTTAAAACAAGACTGGAGAAGGAGGCAGTAGTGGGGATACCTACATTTTAAGTAATACTCAAGTAGTTGGAGCTCTTGCCCAGAAAATAGGAGACTAAAATGCAAAATCTCGTTTTTCACTTCCCGAGAAATTACCTTAATCCCCAGACTAGAGGTATTCTCCTTCCCTCCTGGTAACTTGCTTATAGGTTCAACTGTTTAGCTCAGAGTTTGAACCCCTGCTTTAACACTAGCCTAGCCCAGTGGTTCCCATCCTTTTTTAGACTGCAGACTGACAAACCATGGACCAGTAAACTGCAGACCAGTATACTGCAGTCCAGAAGTGACCGGCATACCATGGAGTGAAAAGAGTTGGCTGCTGGTCTGCAGTATATGGGTCACTTCTGGTTCGGCAGCCAACCTTCCTGCAGATAGGCAGCCAACCCATTGCAACTCGATATTGGGCCGCGTCCCAGGGGTTGGGAATCTTTGGCCTAGGTAATCACTGTCTATCAACTGAGCTACAGAAATAAAGGCCCAAGTCATTCAATTATCTAATGATGTAGGTAGATGTTTTTTGTAAATCTTACTAAGAACCCAGCTGGAGTAGTCATTGAAGCTAGATCCAAGCTATATCTTAATTCTTTCTAAGTTCAAAAATGCAGGACCCAAAACTCTCTCCTCAGCTGCCACACCACATACTGTTCTGTTTAAAAGTTCTTCAGACTTAAAGTTCTGCTGCTGGGCTTGCCTAAAACTTCACCATTATGAGTGATTTGGCACCTAGCTCCTAACTAAGCCTGTTTTAGATCCAGAAAGTAGAAGGAAAAATGCCTAGATTTCCAAAGTGGGTATACTTCTACTCCTGGTTATCGTGTACCACTGGTTTTTTTTGTTTTTTTGTTTTTTCCATTAAACAGTAATTAAGTAAAATCCAGAATAATTCCTCAGAGCAAGCACCGTAACCTAGAACTCTTTCCCCAACTCAGCTGAATACGCTAAGTGCTGGCTACAGAGTCATTTCCCCCTTATTTACTGTCTCTGGCCCAGTGAATTTTAAGTTTTGTTCCGTTGATTAGCTCACATTATGGGACTGTTGGGGCAGTAAGGATGTGTTAGTCTGCTGCTCCTGTTGCGGCTGTGCTTCTGCTTTGGGTCTTGAGGCCCTCTGTTAGGCTTCCCCTTATTTGGAAGATGTTGCAGAGTTGATGCTTTATATAACTGGAGCTACAAGCAGTATGGATCCAGTCCGGTAGTGTAGTTTTATGTTGATTTGGATCAACTGTGGTAGCACGGATGGTGGAAACCACAAGCCAGTTTTCTTTCTCTTTTGCATTTTAAATAAGATTCATACAAAGCACACTTACTGCAATATTTGTTTTGGGGTTTAGTGTTGGTGTGACTCGTGTGTTGTTTAAATGCTGCACACTAACATGTCATTCTGTAGGGGTTTTTTCTTTTTTTTTCTTATTTTTTAAGTGTATAAGTCATCACTGATATCTGACACTGAATTTTCAGAAAAGTTTGGTGTCTTGGAGGCTGTACAAGGCATTTTTTTCTATGACCTAAGGAAGAAATTATGACTATAGAAATGATCAACTTTGATTTAAAAAAAAAAAAATAAACTGTGAGACTAACTTTATCCTAAAATTTGCTGGCTCTGGCTCTTGCAACAGGATGCCAAAGCAGTTTTCTCATGCATACAGCACAGGAAATGAATCCCCTACCACAATATATATAGTAAAATACTTATCATTGGTGGTATATGTTATCATTATTACACACATTTTAATCTGAATTAAAAATAATTTGTGAGAAAAATCATGAGGAGATAATTGAGCTAGGTGCTTATATTCATCGTAGATAGGCTTTTCTATATACAAGCAATTCCTTTTGTACTTGTGCTGTATTTAATGAAACAGATCTAAAAATTACTTATGTTATCATCTATATTTACTCTTGCAGTTTACCATAATTATACGTGGTGTCTTACTCGCCTTCACTGCCTGCTCTGACAAGTCTATACTCCAGCTGCAAGTGCAGGGGAGCATGTTACGGTTGGGCAGGGTTCCAGTAGATAAACTCTGTGCTTGCATCTCTAGGGAGGGTTATTTATAACCCCCTCTAGAGATACAAGATTACATAATATTTGTGTAAAAAATAATTAACTTTGTTTTTAAAACTTGGGGACAATATTTTAATGTTTGGATTTTTTTGATGAATATAAATTTAAAAAAAACTAATTTAGTTTAATTAAATTAAATCAGTAGCTGTTTGGACCAGAAATATGGTCCAAACAGTTTAGTAGTTTGCACATCTATTTTAAGACAGCTATTCATAAAGTTAACACATGAATTATGTATGTAACTAATAATCCTTGTTGAGTACACACTATAATGAGCAGAGGAAGGCTGTCAAAAGCACAAAAAAAAAAAAGTTTACCAGGTGGTAGTCACAACAGTAGAAAAGACTAATAATTATTGGATTTATCTAAATCCAACTCTGAATTTGAAAACCCCGTGCCTGCCCCCCCCCACCCCCAATAATTAGATTCTGTATATAGAAAATTAATATACTTGTTATCATTTTCCAGATAGAGAATCTAACTATTGAAGGGTTGTCTTAAATTTCTCCTGTCTCCCTACTTGTACAGCAGGGAAAGCAGCAGCAGGTGGCCCCCTTGCCCTCTGCTTTCCCAGAGCCTCTGCCTTCCCCTCTTCCCCCTCCCACTGTCAGACATGGTTTCAGCTTGATTCCCTCCCAGGTCTCGGAGCACGTTTCCGTCAGCTCCATGCCCGGGAGGGAATTGACCCACAGCAGTGCTTGACTGGAAGAGCGGAGAGAGGGAGCAGAGGCTGCAGGGACAGGCTGGGGCAGGAGGTGGGCAAAGGCTGCTGAGGGCAGGCAGAGCAGGGTACAAGCAGCTGCTGTGGTGCTGCCTCTGCTCCTGCCCTGACCTTGGGGCCAGAGTGTAGCTGCTTGCCCCCTCCCTCCACTTTGTGCTCGAATCAAGGACAAGGGGCTTTTTCTCCCCATGCTGATTTGTGGAGGGAGGGAGAGGAAAGGGACATCTCATCTTGGATTTGAGTAAATATGATATTCCTTTGCCAGGGGATACGCAGTGGTTCTCAACCTTTATTTTTGAGTCGAGGCACTCCCTCATTAGTCTCGAAGAACCTTTTCCATAATGTTTGTGAATTGAGTGGCAACCAATTTTAAACTAATTTACACATTACAGTGTTTGCTTAGCCCACGTAAGGAGGTAGTAGGGGTGAGAGAGTGACTGGGCCGGGAGGAGCCTCTGTTTGTCTTATCTGCGTAGCTTGTCTCCTTGTACCGTGCTTGTGTTCTCATACCTTGCATCACCCTTCAAGGGATCTGGCAGCACCCCAGGGTGCTCTGGCACCCTGGTTGAGAATCACTGGACTAATAAAACTAAGGATTAGGAGGACACAGCTGGGGAGGAGGCACAGGACCTCTGCAACTGTACTGGAAGGTTCTTGATATGCTGTGTAATCTGCACAGTAGGATCACCAGGGAATGCACGTGTGATATAAGCAGGTGCTCTTCCTTCAAGTGAATCCCTACTGGGGGATTCAGGCATGTAAATTAGATCTTCTTGTGTTGGTAATCTAACAAATATTCTCTATTTAAAAAAAGGGATGCTA